CAATGAATATTATTTATTTATTTATATCAAATGGCAGGTGTTTTGATAGTTATCATTAGCCCTGGAGCTGACTTCGGGGCTTCACAGAGAGAAGAGGGAAAATCAAAGTGAGAAATAATCGAGAGGGGGAACAGAAGAGCGATTCACAGATGTGAAAGAGACAGACAGACAGACAGAAGCCAGAAGTCAACTGCCGATCAATAGACTTTTTTGCCGTATGAGTATACGTTGCCCAGGGTGCACCACGTGGAGGTAAGTCTATTTTGCGCACCCCACTCAAGAAATATATCAAAAATGTCAGAAATTTAAACTTATCCACACCTTCCATCGCCATTGCGTGCCACTCCGATTATTGATTATTTCATTAATGTGCCGAAAGTTCGCCAACATATCCATCTATTTGCGTTTTCCTGGAATTCAACACAATGTTATTCCTCCTGGGGTGTGCGATAGACTTACCTCCACGTGGTGCACCCTGGGCAACGTATACTCAAGCAGCAAAAAGTCTATTAACTGGCAGTTGACTTCTGACTTCGCAACCACAGTTGTGTCTTCGCTTGTCGAAGTGGTCCAGTCTAAACTAATTGCATGAATAGGTTCCTTGATTGATATGATCTTCCTCCAGACATCGGTTTATTCGATTTCGGAGACTTAGTTTCTACCCCATTTTAGTATTATCCACTCCCATTGATTTTTGTGCAGAGATAAGTGACGTGTTGGGCATGTGAGCCAAATAAGTCATTACCTAGATCATCGTTCAGACACCCCATTGTTGAAGGAAAGGAGTATGGGAGATGGAAACTCAAACCAGAAAATGCGCAAAATGTGAGGATGAGATAAAGCGATCATCTTGCCACAACGGGCACTGATCTCCTGAACAGAATGTTGGTGCGCCTGAGCATATCTGGTGTTCCAACTCCCTGTTGGTTCACTCTACGCCCATGCTGCATGATCGATCTGGGTGGAACGAGCACTTTCTCCCCCCCTCCCCCTTGTCATCACTCAATGTGCATGATATTCACTGGGCAATACTTCTCCGACGTGTTGCTGTCACTTAGCCCAATAATGTCACGATATACACTACACTATAGAATCTTATAACACAAAGCGATCTCTTTTCTTTATATCCTAATTCAAGTGAAGCGGGACTCGTGATGATTGGAGGTTCCACTCATTGGTTCCTCTTGCCAAGTTATAGAATCTTAGACTTCTGCCAACAGCTAATAACGCTTCCAAACAGCAGAGTACAAAAGTTGTGTAGGCCAAATCTTACTGTACAAACTCTCATGAAGATTCGAGAGAGTTTGAAACTTTTAGTCATATTGGCCACTTGAGAAAGAATGTGTATGAGAAAACGAAAGCATTGCAAGATAGACTTAATTGGATTCGTCATTGAGAAAAATAAAGTAATCTCGATAAACTCGTCAACAGTCAATAGTTTGAGTTATACGGGCATAAAGATGAGATGTAGCACGTTGTCATGGAGAAAGTGACCAAATAATAAAAGTTCTGGCAACCTATGTGTGGCCATCCTACACATGCCTTATTCTCTTCATTTGCTCTTCCCAAAATTCCTACGCTGGTAGATAATAAAAGCTCTAAAAATGTTTGCCCTGTGAAGAGGAATAAGAAGAATTATTTATTTATTTCAAATGGTAGTCGTTTCGATGGCTATCATTAGCCATTTAGCTGACTTCGGGATTCACAGAGGGAAGGTTTACCAAAGTAATAGAAAGTTGAGGTGTGGGGAACAGAAGAGTGGTTCACAGATGTAAAAGAGACAGACAGACACAAAGGTAGAAAAAAGGTGAGTACTGCGGAAGTGGGCGAATATGACACACAGTGGGGTCATGGCAGTTTGAAGTGAGAAGTCAACTGCCGGTTAATAGACTTTTTTGTCGTATAAGAATACATTGCGCAGGGTGCACCACGTAGAGGTAAGTCTATCGCACACCCCACTAAGAAGAATAATTATTATTGGTATTAATTCAACTTCCTAACTTAGTTACATTTGACAGCTTTGTTATATTCTCTTAGGCCTGAGCTAAACTTACGCTAATAGTATAGTTTAATCCAATAAAACCCATCAAATTCAGATTCAACTTAGCGCAGATAATTTTCAATGTGCTTGGATTCTTGTGTCTATTGGGAATAAATTAGCCATGAACATATTAAGGCAATTTCATACTGATCCAGACAGACCTGGAAATCTTGCAGTGGGTGATTCTATGAATAGCCTCCGGTAGAATACCACTTAAGACTAGAACCCCCCCCCCCCTACCTCCCCCCACTTAGGACTGGTGTGCGAAACCCCGTCTTTACTCGACTTGCATCAAACTGCTGCATTCAAACGCATGAATTACTTAGTAAGTCCGCAAATTGAATCTGCTCATTTAAGAAGATGGAAAACATTATGGTACATGACTATATGCTGTAATTTTAGGGAAATGCCAGTAAAGCCTGGTTTGTGGGATTCAGAGTGGATCATTTCTGATTTTCAAAAAAGATCCTGGCAAGGAATTGCAAGGCGAAACTGGTACCAAGTGCTTTAGCCACCCCAGATTTTGATGAAATTCAAAACAGAAGGGAAACAGAACCGTTAATTTTTAGGTGATCATTGAACCCGAAGAATAACGATCCCACTGATAATACAATAGTTCTCGTTTCTGCGAATGTTTTCATTTCATGGTGTTTTTTTAATTCAATTACCTCAATTGTAGACTTACGCTAAAAGAAACACGGATTGATTTTATTTGAACCTTTTGAAATAATATAGACCAGTTAAAATAGCGACTTTCTTGGTGTCTTGGTTAACTTACCTTAGTCGCAACATTTTGCTAGTTTTCTCTTTGATTCATATTACTACTGATTGGTCAAAGGCCATTCAAGGGTAATATATATAATTACGTTGTCGACTCATGTTGATCAATATGGAGATGTGAAAAAAATGTTTCCTTAAATAGAGTAATAGTGAAACACCTTTAAGAGGGGTATTTAATTGACATAAGAAGGTGGCCTGAATTCAACAAAGGAAATCGTTTTAGCAAACAACAGGCGTTTTCAAAAAAAGAATACAGTATTGACTTTAACAAATTCAAATTGAATGTTCTGCTTATTTTGATTTAGAAACGTTTTCTGGAAAAGCTCCACCATCTCCATGCTCTTGTTGGAAGGGAACAGTTATCACAAACAAAGTGTATTGGCTATCTTAACCTCTTTATCGGAACAATCAACAACATCGATTTGATAGCGCAATACTTCACATTACCAAGCAGTTTAATCAAATTTCTAAATATCAATAATCGATACCTTGTGCTCGAGTAAGAAATGTAATTCCAAGACCATCTAAAGAATATTCATGCTTTCTCTTAACCAAGTAACAATCAATAAATCGATCAGAAGACTAGCCTTGTCACTGTTATCTAACAAGAAGACACACATACCTAGAAGAAGTAATCATTCCACTTCAATGAAGCCTAGTGTGCTGGGATTATATAATTGTGAATCACTATTATCATTACCATTGAGTTTCTTATTAGAAGGAAAAATTTTAATGACAACTTTACTGTTTGCAACAAAGAAAGGTAAGGTGAATCCGTCTATGAACAGCGTGAATACGAAACCTAAGATGGATAAAATCAGGCAAGTGATTTTTAAGATGATCTGTACAGAAGTCATTGAATCTAGTATCATAATCTCCAAATATCACAATTCCCTCCTTTAAAAATGGTTAAATTTCATAAAATTACTGTATAAATCACAACTACAAATTATATTTTCGACAAATTGACTTAAAGTAAGCAAATATTGATGAATGACAAATAAGCTCGAAAAAGTAAAAAGCCACTATCGAACAAAAGCGGAAGACAATGGTTGCAAGTAGAATGACTATTCAAATAAAAAAATCTATACAAATCATCTATGCGGGCTAACTCTACTGTGACTTGGCCTCCTCTTCCAATAGTTTCATCTTGAAAGCCGCCTTCATTTCTAGTCGTCGTTTAGCCCGCGAAAAGCGATGATTCTCTTTTATTTGGGCATCTCTCTTTCGCTGAGCTCTCTCACTTTCTTCTCTATTAAAGTGGATATCCAACTGCTCAATTAGACGTCTTCTGGCAATGAGACGGTTGACTTGTAGGTTTCTGCCATCCTATAACATAATAAGCTTGGCAATGCACGCTAAATATTAGACCTACTTATATAGATTTAAGTAATAATAACACACCTGACATTTGATAGTGATGCCGGTGGGAATATGCTTTAATCGAACACAATTGGCGGTTTTATTAATGGCCTGGCCACCGGGGCCCCAACCATGGATAAAATTTTCTTCAAGTTCATCATCATTCAGTTCGATTGGAGTTTTCGAAGTTTTACCGTCTTTGCAGTTACTGAGGCTTACGGAATGGTGAAAAAATATCAAGTGGTTGAGAGACCAGGACTGAGGCAGTGAGGGGGCTGGTAACAACTGCCGTGTCACTTGGCGTAACATATCTAGAAAAATAGAAACATAATATTTCTGCAAAATAACAAATCTCTCTTAGGTCGAAAAAACGTGAAATCGGGGAAATATCAATCTAAGAACAGAAAATCATAATAATTAACCATAGAGTTTATTAAAGAACACCTTGAACGTAATGTGTACGTTAAATAAGCATAACTAATAGTAGATATAAATCACTATAATTTAAAATTACGGCCGTAAATAGTTAGGCCTAAATGGATTAGACTTGGTCATAAATATTAAATTTACTCTAATATCAAGAAATTTGACTACAAATCGACTGAAATCCAAAAGACACAGAAGCTCACCTTGACATTCATACACGCTTGTTATTTACCAAGCATTTAAAGTATGTTAAACTAAAATTCAAAGAAACTATTTGTTGAGATAGATATAAATTTATTTTAAATTTATGAATATTTTTATAGGTGTTTTTTAATATTAGTAATATTATATATCAATTGCATTAATTTAAATTGTTCATGACTTTGTCATATACTTTTACCCAGAAGAATAGGAAATAAGAGATTACACATTTTAAAATTGATTTAGAATTTATTTGCTTTCAAGTTATGCATTTACTAATGCTGAATCCTTTTCCCCGATCTGCAACAAATCTCGCCCTACTCTTCTCACAATTTTCGAATGCGCCTATGAAAAAGATGAGTTGAGGTCTGGCGTATATGGAGGACGTTGTTGAATTACCTAATTTATCCCTAAACTTTATTTGGGTGGGGCGCGCATTACCATTCTGAAGAACTAACATTTTTTGACTTTAATCTCTCTGGCTTAGACTTCCTAATCGTTAGCAACAATAAGCGGCAGCTGAAAATGCCCACGACTGGTTTAGGCTACTTTTAATGGATTATTGCACAATCAAACCTGATATGCCAATCATCTTGGCAATTCCACAAATCAGAAAACCTAAGAAGCCTCCACGCCTCCGAATTAGGGTGTGTTGCTCCTTATCTGGAGATTCCAATCGGAAGCACTATGTTATAGCATGCATAAGGAAATTCAGGGGGTTTTCGGTGTTCTCCCCCCCCCCCCTCCCCTTCCATGGGAGTAGAGTATGATAGTGACAATTGACAAGTTAGTTCCAAACTTTAAAACACGATCACCATTCTTTATTCTTAAAATAGTGTGAGCAATAATAGGTAAACAAAAATAGGAAAGTTGGTGGGTGATGTACAGGGGATGAGTCACACATCTAGTAATGACAGCTATTGTCCAGCTTGGGCATTTAATCTTCGGTCATCTGTATTTTCAACACGTTCTTTAACTTTTTGAAGCAGGGGCAGCAGTTGGTCGGTGAGTCTCTGTACTTGTGGATGCATAAGCAGAGAAGCCAAATGTTCTCTACGATCCCTGAAAATGAAAGAGTGCGATAGTTTCTACTGATAATAATAAGTAGAAAAAAATAGAAAATTTGAGAAATTAAATCATACTGTGAGGATGATGGGCTATTTTCATCAGTGTGGGAAGGATGATTTTCAGGCTGTGAATCGAGATTAGGTGCACGAAGAAGAGCAGAAAGGAAATCTGTTGTTCGTTTTAAGAGATCAGCAAGTTGACACACGGATGCATCGCCTGGATTGGATTGCTCAATAGGAATCATATTATCCAACGTTGTGAGAGGAGCTGAGCTTTGGGTCTGAGTTGCCGAGGAAGCAAGTTGAGAACGTCGAGCTCGAATTCGTGGACGGTTTATTGGAATAAATGATCCAGAGGAAGTATTTGAATCTGGAGTTAAACGGAGAGCCTCTTCAGGCTGAGAATCAGGGAAAGCTCGTTTGGATCCAACGGGTATGTTCTCCTACAATTGAGATATGGTAATGATTTCCACCCCTTCTAAATAGCACCTTCTTAATCCTTAGCCAAAATTTTACAAATCTATGACGTTATTTGCTAATTTAAGATGTAGAAACCCCTTAAAATGTAAAGTTAGTAACAATAGGACTAATCCATAAAACGCCGAATAAAAATGCAAATAAATGCACAACAAACAGGAGTTTAAGCTCCGCAACTACGAATTCCACTAATTAAATTTGTCACCAATCTCGTTTTCTGCCTTTCGGAATTCATGTTATGGAAATGCTAAAAACAGTCTCAGAAATATCAAGAGAAATTCCCCTAATTTAGAGTACTACTCAGAAATTGCAAAACAACGACGACAACAAACAACGCGTCATAAAACATTGTATCTCATCTAGGGGGTGTCAAAATTGCAAACTGTGGAGTATCTTAAAAAAGCTCATTCCCTTACTCCGCCAGTGGACAGAAGTGACGATGAAGAGGCCAGAATGACCTCTTCTTGGGTGGAAAAGCATTGAACACCGTAGACAGGACTTTGATGTATTTTCAAGGGAAGGGCGGAAATGCTGAAGTTTGAATGTTGTGGTGTGATGTGGTAAAAATCGAAGAGATATAATTCAAAAATCAAACGAATTATGACCTTTTGAGGACCTGATACATTGCTCTTATCAACCCTTTGATATTCTCATAATTAATCATTTGACTGACTTCTATTCCATATCATTTACTTTCTACAGTGGGGTGCGTGATAGACTTACCTCCATGTGGTGCACCCTGGGCAACGTATACTCATACGGCAAAAAAGTCTATTAACTGGCGATTGACTTCTGGTGCAGTACTCATCCTACCTTTTCTTTCCCTTCATGTCTGTCTCTTTTACATCTGTAAATCCCTCTTCTGTTCCTCACCCCTCGACTTTCTGTTACTTTGATGTTCCTCCCCCCTGTGAAGTCCGAAGTCAGCTAAAGGGCTAAGGTTAACTATCAAAACGCCTGCCATTTGAAATAAATAAACTTTCTACAGCAATTAGAGTTCATGTAAATAATTAAGTAATAGTTTGTGGCTTAATGTCAATTTTGCTTTAAGAAATCAGGTTATAGGAATAAAATTCTCACAATGAAGACACCAAAAATAAAATTTTTAACTCTCTTCATCTCATCATTAAATTTTGGTAATTAACCAAAACATTTTTCAAATGAACCCACTGAGAGAGCCTGATCCTCAATAGACCTTAAGGGTATGCTTGAATGAGGACTGATATTCTCTCGTCCGAGTTCTGTTTGAAGTTCAAGGGGCATTGAATTGGAAGGACTAGCTGACGGAATGGAAGTTCCAGCGGATTCCAGAGTACACAGGTGGATTATCCCCATGTGAACTAAGAGAGGTTCAACACAAGGAAAGACAGCTCGACAAATTGGGCAGGGAGTAATACCGCTACCCGAAACATTTCCAACATCCTCATCCTTAACCGATTGGTTGTCTCCAATACTTTCAGCGATTCGATTATTCTCTGGAGAACAGCCTTCAGGTGAATTGTCAGACGCATAAGCTTGAGCAGATGTTGATGGAATATTCGAAAGTCCTTCAGAATCTTGGACAACGACAGGCTGGCCTCTTTTCTTACGTTCCAGATAGTCTTTCAGGGTTCTGAGGGCAAGATCGACACTCAACTCATACACACTATATTCCCGTCCATGGATATTCGTCATGTGTTTCTTTACATCCCATCTCCAGTTACTTCTGAAAAGGGTTAAAGTGCAATTACTAAACAGTCCAACTTACAAAAAAGGGGAGGGGAAAGAACCTCTTTCCATACCTGTGGCCACAAGCAGGGCAAAGGAATCTTCGCGCATAACCTTCCCGACAATGTGTTTCAGAATTAGGGTCATCCTTAGGTCTTCCATTCCTTCCATACAATCTCATCTTTTCAATATATTCAGGAAGAGTTCGCAATGCCTCCTCCTCTGATAGAGTAATAATTTGAAGACCAGTTCGATTTGGATGGGCTAATTCGATGTGCTTGTTGACATCCCACTTCCAGTTGGATCTATGCCCGCATCCAGAGCACATAAAGGGTTTAGATTTCGTCTCCCTAGGGTTGGATGGATTGGAGAATCGTTCAGAGAATTCAGGTCGAGTTGTTGCACGTCTTTTAGCAGTTTGGGAATGGGCGTCCGAGTTGAGGGATTGATTTCCAGATAGGAAAACTTCCCTGCACACTAAATTCAGCGGTTGATCATCAATGGCCACATATTTCTGCGAATCCTCTGTTGACTTCTCGTGGGATGCCATGGCCAAAATATTCTGCTAAATCAAGCGAAAATGATTGTTAGTAAAGTCGGTTTGAATAGCATTTCAGTAACTACTACTCTGATGAGTGAAAGCGCACAACATGCAGGTTCTCCATCCCACACGATGCTCAAATGACAACAGGAATTCATGCGTCTGTGTGGTACAAACCTTAACACATTACCTGCAATTCAAAAAAGTAAAAAAAATAAGGTCAGCTTTTTTTACTAAAACAGTAATGAAATACTTCCGCTATATATATATATATATTTCCGTTGGTATGGCTCTGCTATTGCCGTTTGAAATATGTTCAATGCGTCTATAAACCTTCGCCTGATGCCACCAAACTTCATCGCGTTGACATCGGTATGCTGTGAGACAATCGTGAGTGCGATTGGGGTGTAGTGGTAACGAATATGGAGTACGATATTCATAAAATTTTCTTTCAATCAGCAAATTAGAAACTTTGGGGTGTGCGATAGACTTACCTCTACATGGTGCACCCTGGGCAACGTATACCCATACGGCAAAATAGTCCATTAACCGGCAGTTGACTTCTGACTTCAAACTACAATGGTCCCACTGTATTGCATATTCTATCCCTTCCATGGTACTCATCTTACCTTTTCTCTGCCTTTTGTCTGTCTGTCTCTGTTACATTTGTGAATCATTATTCTGTCCCCCCCCCCTCTCGACTTTTTGTCACTTTGATGTTCCTCCTCCTCCTCTCTGTGAAGCCCAAAGTCAGCTAAATGGCTAATGATAACCATCAAAACGCCTGCCATTTGAAATAAATATTAGAAACTTTTAAAATGTTAAAGGGTCATGAGGATAATATTCCTACCGAATTGAGAGGGCATATTCACCTTTCCAAGAACCAACTACACATCTATGACTCGTCTTAAGTTAATCCACGAAGTATTTATTGAATTTAAAGGTTTAACATTTGTAAGGAAATACCTGGCTAAACGATACCCCCCATTTACATCAGGACGCTTTGACGACCTCAAGCATTAATTTGACCTCTAACATCTTAAGAAAGAGGGGAGATCAAAGTGAGGATCTTAAGGTGAAGCCATGTTCAAGTTTCCTCAGATCGAAGTCTAATAAT